TGAACCTGTATGACAGTGAGACGAGGGGACACCCAGCAGAGATACAGTCCAATATTGAAGGCTGCTGTTATGTTTCTTCTGGTGAAATTCACAATTCTTTCACATTCGCCCTACCTCAGCAGCAACAGGTTCCTGCAGAATGTTGTGAAGGAGGCGGATGTATTCCGACGCAGCCCGCAGTACGTGCACTTTGCTGGGTTTCCGGTCTTTACGGATCAGCGGAACGATGCTTTTGAGCTTCGAGAAGCCGCCATTTATGCTCTGGACCTGAAATGAGAGGCACATTGCCTGGTCATCTCAAAGTGACGCACAGGGCTTTTACATTTGACTGGTGTTCAACTCATCTGCAACCTCAAGTACTTTCAGACCGGAGACATCTGCTAATACACCTGAGGACCTCGAACTGGTTCACCCATCGATCAGTTTCTTGAGAGAGCTGATAGAGGTTTAAAGACCAGAATAAACCTTCTTCACCTCATCGTTTATTTGCTGCATCAGTTTTAATGATTTGAAACATACTAAGAGCCACCACTCCACCAACAGAAGCTTCTGTAGTCTGCAATTGTACAGCAACACAGGGCAAGAGTCCATTTGGCTCTCTGAATCCATGCTAGCCCCCCACTCTCTCGTCAGTTTCCATTTCCCCGCGCAGTGCTGTGTTTATTACCCCAGAGCACCCATCCAATCTCCCTTTGAAATCATTCCCTACCTCCACTTCCACCACGAGTTCCAGCTCATTACCACTCGCAGTGAAAAACAAAAAAAAAAGTCTCCCTCACATGTGCACGACCGCCTCCTGCGGCAGGGTCAAATGGGGGAAGAAATGGTCAAAAGGCAAAATCAATGGCCCTTTAACAAGCTGAGTCAGTGTAGTTCCGTAAAGAGAAATTACACCCGATGGGTTTGAAAGGATTCTTTAGCAAGTTAACAAAGCAGGCTAGGTAAAAGAGAAGCAATGGATGCAATATATTTGGATTTTCAAAGGGTTTGGGTTTTGATAAGGACCCACATATTAGGCTGCTTAATACAAGAAGAGCCCATGGCGTTGGTGGAGAGAGGATTGGTGGAAGGTTAGACGCCTGGGAGCGGGATAAGAGGGACGTTTTCAGGATGGTAACCTGTAACTAGTGCAGTTCTGTAGGGATCCGCGCTGAGAAAGCTGCAGCACGGAGGATTTGGGGAATCCTCATCCAAAATGCCAGCATCCAAGTTCAGTGGGGAATAGGGAAGCTGAATGGGATGTTGGCCTTTATTTCAAAGGGAGTGGAGTAAATGGGGAGGTTTCTCTAAAACTGTACAAGGCACTAGTCAGACCACAGCTGGAACACTACGAAGAGTTTTGGGTCCCCGTATCTAAGGAAAGATAGACTGGCCATTGGAGTCAGCGCAGAGAAGGTTCACTCGGCTGATCCCGGGTATGGAGGAACTGTCTTATGGGGAGAGGTTGAATAGGTCGGGCCTGTACTCATTGGAGTTTAGAGAGGGGTGCCTAATTGAAACACAAGATTCTTAGAGGGTCTTGACAGAGGAGATGTGCAGAGGTTGTTTCCCCCAATAGGAGTGTCTAGGACCACAGGGTGTAATCTTAGAATAAGGGCTCGCCCACTGAAGACAGGGATGAGGAGGAATTTCACTTCTCAGAGGGGAGTGAATCTGTGGAATTCTTTACTGCTGAGGGCTGTTGAGGCCAGGTGATTAAGTATATTTAAGGCTGAGATGGACAGATTTCTAATCAGGAAGAAGAACCAAGTGTTATGGGGAAAAAGCAGGAAAAGTGGCGCCAATGTTACCAGTATCAGCCTTGTTCTCATTCAATAGTAGTGCACATTCTATGTGCTGAATGACCTATTTCTGCTACTACATCTTGTGGTCTTATTTCTTGTCCAGACCCTTAAATCTGTGACTATATCGTTCCTGTACCATTAGCTAGCAGGGATGGCTACTTTAAAAAAAAGTCTTATTTAAACTTCTCAGTCTTTTACAATCAAATCCCTCTTCAAGGAGAACTGCCCCAGCTTCTCCAACCTACCATTGTCTCTAAAATCCCTCATCCCAGGAAACACTCCGGTCAATGCCTACACCCTCTCAAGGATTCCCACATTAATCAATCAATCAAGATTATTGTTTAAATCACTGAAATGAGGAAATCCAGAAATCACTGCCAGTGATGTGTGCCGCTCCACATGATTCCCCAAAATGCAATCTGTTAGAAATTACTGAACTGACCATAGCTTCTATTCTTACACTTCAAAACTTGGAGTTTAATAGAAAACCCTGAAAATCAGATTACACCACGTTGAAACAGTTCCTCCTGGGTTTATTAACAAACTGAGGTTTGAAATACTACTAAACACCTTCCCTGCCCCCAAGAGTAGCTATTACACCTGTGGAATGTCACTTTTCCCTATAATGATAAGTTTTTCCACGTATTTTTGATTTTGTTTCAAACTTAGCTTCCACCTTAATCTCACCTCAATGTTTCAACTAGTTATTCCACGCTGTAAAAGTTGAAATTAGTTGGGGGGGGGGGGAGAAAAAGGGAAGATAACTGAATTTTGCGATAGGGTCAGCTGTCTGTAGGAATGCTGCTTTGCGATTGGCTGCCTTGTTGAACAATGCCATGCTGTTTAAAGCTTTTGAGAAGATTTGTAGTTCGGGTCGTGGATGAGGTTGTAGAGTTGCTTGCCGAGCCTGTGTGTTTGGTTGCATACGTTTTGTCACTCTGTTAGGTAACATTGTCAGTGTGCCTCTGGTGAACTGTCGGTGTTCTGTCCCACTTGTTCTTTATATGCCTTTAAATGACTTATTTCCGAGGCATATAAATAACAAGCAGGATAGAACACCAATGCCTCACCAGAGGCATACTGATGATGTTACGGAGCAGGGTGATGTAACGTCTGAGGGGACCTGGCAGGAGCAGGTGTTCCCATGTATCTGCTGCCCTTGTCCTTCTAGATGGAAGGGGTTATGGGTTTGGAAGGTGCTGTCCAAGAAGTCTTGGTGAATTTCTGCAGAGCATCTCATAGATGGTATGCACTCCTGCTACTGAGTGTCGGTGGTGGGGGGAATGGGATGTTTGTGGACATGGGGCCAATCGAGCGGGGGCTGCTTTGTCCCTGGATGGTGTCGAGCTTCTCGAGTGTTGTTGGAGCTGCCCCCATCCGGGTCAAGTGGGGAGTATTCCATCACACTCCTGCCTTGTGCCTTGTTGACTGTGGACAGATTTTGGAGACGGGGGGGGTGGATGGATAGGTTTGGGGGGGGGGGGGTAGGTTGGGGGGAGTCAGGTGAGTTACTCGCTGCAGGATTCCCAGCCTCTGACATGTAGCCTCTGTATTTATATGGAAAACCTAGCCCAGCTTTGGCCAATATGGTAGCTTTAGTTGTTTTCATGTGTTTAACATTAGATGTAGGCATACTCAATGGAAATCTGACAAGTAATAAGTCCTTACTGCACTGCAATCTTCTTAACATGTTCTAGACAATATAAACCATTGTGAATGCTTTCTTTCATTTGTAATGTCATAGAAATTACAAGTAATCTTTTTGCAGAAAAATGTTGAGATTTCACTAATCAAATCCTTCTACATTTAGGAGTTGAACAGCAATGGTTAATGTTCAGTGTCATCTCTTTCTGCAGTTGGGTCTGTCCCAGATATTAATATGGAGTAAAATTTATTGTCCATTGATTTATAAAAGATATTGGATAAATTGCCATTGAATTATACTGGTCTGGCTTTTTGTTTAGAAAGAAGTGTTATGTGAGAGGGGCTCGGGAGAAAGCAGGAAAAAGCCAACATGGGTTGCTGCATAATGCAGATATTTGATAGTTTCTCCCCTTCCACAACACCCTATGCTCTTCAAAGAATCTCAAACCTGAGAAGAATCCTTGTTGACCTTTACAAATGTCAATTGCACGAGAGCATGATTTCCCTTCCCCTGCCCAGGTTTTAACAAGACGCTGGCATGTGTGAATCTAACACTATGGCCACCCCCAGCTACAAAGATCCCCCTCTTTCTTGTCCCCAATCCAGCTCTCTCAGTCCACAGCCAACTGTACCTTAGCTGCATCTTTCCATCAGACTAAGCCGTCACAATGCTCCGTATAGTTCTTGTGCATCACTATCAACCGTCCCAGGAACCAAAATCAGAGGTGATATTACTGACTTGTGCACAAAAACAAATTCACAATTCCAACGTTCCAACTCAAACCAACCATCGATTAAAAATCTCACATCTTTCACATTTAGCGACAGGTCTCAGGCGCAGTGTTAAGGTGACCCCCACCCCACCCCCCATCACCCTCTGAAGCAAATGGTAAAGAATCTGATGGTATGATTTTGAAAAGGAGCAGGGCTGTGTTCTCCCGAGTGTGTCCGGGCAACGGTTACCCTTTGCCTGGAATCAGGAGAACAGATTTACCTGGCTATTTTGGCTTTGCAGATTGTGGGAGCTTGCTGCATACAAATTAGTGGCTGCTTTCCCTCTGTTGTAACAGGGAACATATTTTTAAAAAGTTCTTAATTGGCTCATCACTGAAATTGTGAATGCTGCTCATTCTTTTCGCCTGGTACATTGACAATCAAAGCAATTTGACTTCGCTTTACATCAACAGAACACCCCAGACTAAACTGCCCATTTTGTTGGTGATCATTGATTTGGGCACAAGGGCATCATCCTACCGACTAGGGACGTTGCAAGGCTCATAATCATCTCCACAGTCCCCCTCCACACTCTCACAGTTCAAAGTTTTGGCTGGAAGTTTTCGACTTGCTGAAGTTCGCAAAGAAGAAACAAATAGAGTCCAGAGAACGGTCCAGGAGGCCGTTCAGCCCGTTGTATCTTCGACAGCCCTCTGAAGGAGCAAATCACAGGCAGTTCTACAGTCCAGCCCCCATAAGCCAGTGTACAGTTCCTTTTCAGATAATGCAATTGTCCACAAAGATTAATACTAGCTATCAATCAAGGAGTATTGTTACAACCCCATATTACTGGCATGTATACCACTGCAGTTCCATGTTTAGAAATACAAGACTAGCTCACACCAGAAGTGCTCATATTCCCACATTACCGCTTTGATATTGTAGCTAATGCTCACAAACAAGCTCCTGTTACCCCACCACCCCCCCCCCCCCCAGTTCCTCCCGGATTGCCCTCACCCGGTGTCGCTCCCTGGCATTGGCTGCCCGCCTCTTGCCAAACAGGTCCTGAACATCGGTGCTGGCATCGTAGTGCCCAGCCGGCTGCCTCTTGAATTTCCTGACGGGTGCCAGGATGGGTAATGGGCCCAGGGTCTCATCCAAGACGTGGCTCATCCTTTCAGGCTCGGGTACCACCAGGAGGTCCCTGGTCAGCCGCTGCCGTTCGCCTGCCTCCAGCTTGAGGAGCCCAGCCCCTTCCTCGAGGACCCCAGCCCCCTCCTCGTCCTCCTCACAGCTCAACTCCAAATAAAACTGCAGCTCCTCTTCATCCTCCATATCCCACTCCTTCCAATCCATGGCCTCAGTAACCTCAATTTAAACTCTCTCCTGCCTCCCCGAGAAACTGATAGAGAAGACCAATTTCTCTCCCTCTTTCACTATCCTTTTCTTTCCCTCTCTCTCTCCCTTCCCTCCTCTATATCCCTCTTATGCCTTTCTCTACCCTTTCCTCATCCTCTTTCCCTCTCTCTCTTTTATTTGTTTCTTCCTCCTCTCTCTATTCCTCTATCTCCCTTACCTACTTCACCTCCCTCTTTCTTCCTTTTTCCTTCCCCTTTCTCTTTTCCCCACTCTATCCCTTCCCGACCTCCCTATCTGCCTCTCCTCACCCCACACTCACTCCCTCTCTTTCCCCCACACCCCCTCTCTCTACCCTTCAATCCCACTCCCTTTTCCCCTCCCTCTCTCCTTCTCTCACTCACTCCCTTTCTCCTCCTCCTCCTCCTCCTCCTCCCTCCCTCACTCACTCACTCACTCACTCACTCACTCTTTCCTTCCTTCCTTCCTTCCTTCCTTCTGTCTGTCTGTCTTTCTCTCTCTCCTCCCTCACTCACTCACACTCTCACACGTTCTCCCTTTCCCCCCAAATCCTCTCTTGGCTCCTGACCACAGCCCCATCCTGCCCAGCTACTCGCTCCTTGTCGCCGCGAGGCATGCTGGGGGTTGTAGTCCCAGGCGCCGCTGACTTCAGTCGAGAAGAGGCGTCCTGAACTACAGCTCCCGGCCGGCACCGCGGCGACCGCGCATGCGCCCCGCTTCCCGCCTCGCGCTAGTCAGGCGACGTGGCCGAGAGAGAAGGATGGAGAGATGGTGACAGGGGTGAATGGAAAGACATAGAGGGATAGTAAGAGAGTCAGAGGATCGGGAGAGGAATGGAAATATAGAGAAAGATATGGATGAATGGGAAGAAATAGAAGGATGGCAACAGAGTTAGAGGATCGGGAGAAGAGTGGAAACGTGGAGTGGGATGGGGGATGGATGGAAAGATAAAGAGGGGATGGAGAGAAGGAAAAATGTAGAGAGAGAGAATGAATAGAAAGAAATAGAGGGAGGGCAACGCAGATAGAGGATCGGGAGAATAATGGAAACAGATGGGGGGGATGGAGAGAGAGGAGGAGGGATGGAGAAACAGAGGAGATGGAACGATTGAGGGGGAGACGGAGAGAGAGAGATTGAGGGGAGACAGAGAGAGAGAGAGACAGCGGGGCAGAGAGATC